CTGGGTTAAATGGTTAGAATGTTTGTGCTTGGTGGTTCGTTCTGTGATCGACATGTTTGTTAGCTGCCGGTGCAAAGCTGCGTGTCGGCTCCGTATCCAAAAACCTTTAAATTGATCTAAATTATATTAGACAGACTTTTGTTGATTGTTTAAGAATAAGAACAGTGTGACATTTGTTAGTTCAACACCAAAAGCGTTGTCCACGCCGTTTAATTTAATTTAATTTGCGGTACTTAACATCGCACATCCTGCAATGTGACTATTGCAAGTGCGTACGTCGCGATGACGATGCTGAAACGATATATCGTGCAGCCCTACCGGCATGCTTTGCGCCTCACATTAAATATTGTCAGTTATGTGGATTCCTGTATTTTATAGCCAACGTCCTAACAGTGTAATGTTTGCCGTGGAACGGGTGCGTTTCGTTGGCGCGTAACTGTGCATGTCTGTGCCGCTGTTAGCATCAAACCGATAGCGGCTGTTAATAAAAAGTGCAACTTCGATTTTCAAAGAGCTGTCATCTCCTTTATTAAAACAACTCACCACAATACATTTATTTGCACTCTGTATGTGGGTCTGCTGCATCGAAAACATTCTGCGCCCTCTAGGTCATATAGAGCGATGGTGGCAGTGGTGTAGTATACCACAGATTGTTTGTGCCAATGTGTTCGATTTCATTTTGCCCGGATGTTATTTTCAGTGTATGGCCATCATAAGATGGAGAAGCAAGGTGAAGACAAGATAAAGACAGTGAAGCAGGGAGGAGACAAGATAAAGACAGTGAAGCAGGGAAGAGACAAGATAAAGACAGAAGCACAAAATGGAGACAGAAGATAGAGAATAAAGAGGGACCAGGAGGAGACAGATGGAGACAGAGGATAGGAGACATACCCCTGTTGTCAGTCCCGATGCCTTTTCATTTAAAGGATTCAAGCACCACTCTTCGAACAAGCTTCATCTGTTTTAACAGTCACAATCTGACAGCCTTTACAAATACAGCACCCCCCCCCCCCCAACCTCCCCAGCCCCAAAGACTGGCACACACTTCAGAGGAACCTACCAGATGCCACTCGACACACCAGAGACAGAGCCCCTGGGTGCCAGTCGAGGTCACGACTAGGGCAGAGAGCCGTTGAAAAGGACAGGGGGTAAAAGGGCTACGCGCGGTGCATAGTTTTCAGAGTGCTAACGGAACTTTCACTGCAAACACTGCTAACAGTAGCCCTTGCAAGCCACAAGGATGCCCTGCAGGGGGCGACAGCGAGTGAAACTGATGCTGTTCCTCCCCAGTAATGGCACATACACAGCTTACAAACTTACACGCGTGTGATTTACATGGATATACCATTCAAGGCAAACACCGTGTTATTCAGCTAGTGTGTTTCCTTTCCAAAATACTAGGTTTTAGGGCACAAATCCAATGACTGGTCTCTCACCATCAGACTTTATTTACGCTTTAATTACGCTGATACCAACGGTGCAGCATCTATATACCAACAGCAGTAAAAGGTAGATGCATTTCAGTTAGAGGTTAGGAAAGATTTTGAAGATGGTTTAAAAATGACAAGGTTGAACTGGTCTAAAAATGACTAAAGTTGCACAATTTCAGAAAGGGATTTAGATAAAGTTGAGCATCAAATATGAGTTTTGTGTGAGACTGGCAAGTGGGTTCTATTTGTAGTTAGGTTTTGCACTTTGCTTTGCATTAGTATTTGTTCTGTATTTTGACTATTGTACTAGGATTAAATTGTAATTTGGGTTTAAAATACAGTGCAAACATAAGCAAGCTTAGGCTGAAGCCGATACCTTTCTGCTTCCCCGCTATCGCTGGATTTTATTTGTATGTGGTTGGATTTGTAATATATGGAAAGTATTATGATTCTGAAGTTACCTCAAAAAAACCAGAATAAGAAATTCGTTCATTCATTCACAACCTCACCATCACACAGTCACACTATTCGCACATGAAAGCATTTACGGTTACAGTCACTTTGGCGGAGACGAATGGCACTTCCTGTTATTGTCAAGAGCACAAAGAGTGAGTCGTTTCGGAACTGCGCGTTTGAAAAAAAGGTAAGGAGGAGAATCGGGCTGCAACTACCTGGAACGGCAAAGTCCAGGTGACACCACGCCAGACGGAAACCGCCAGCCGGCATCGAAATGAACTGAAGCTTCAGTCACTCAATGATGGCGACAGACACCGGGAGAAAGACCAGAACCTATTCAATCAGATACAATGGAGATTCAGGGAAGAGAAACAGAAGACAATGGGAAAACAAAAGCCAAGGTACGCGTAAAGGGGCGGGGTGGACATCTGTTTGTTTACTCTTTTGTTCGTTTTAAAAAAAGACACCTTCTAATTCTGAGCATTCATCGCGTAAAGCCGGAAGCCTGAATCAGGGCAGTGGCTCAAACTGCAGGAGGCTGACGGAGACGACCGAATATCTCACTGGCAAGGCAGGCAAATATAAATGAATGCATAACTGCCGGAGCTGTGGCAAATTTCAGCGGTATCGACCTGCTCGTTGCCAAACATACAGCTCGTGTTGCAGCGTGACCAAAAATAGCAGCATTTCCTGTGAATCATAAACACCAGGGCATGACACGGCTATCAGGGAGCAAGACGATCGAGGCGAGTCATCGCAGTGGACGGAGTAACGCATTCCCGGGAAATCATGAGTTAGTCTTCAAGCATGTTCCTAAAACAAAGAGTCAACCTCAATCTCCCTCACTACCGCTCTGAAAGTTGACGGGTCAGCAACAGGGAGGTGTATAGGAGATGTCATATAATCCACAAACGGCCCTAGGGGCAAGAATCTGAGCACAGAGCAAAGTCCCCATGGTTACCAACGCTTGACAACCACGTCTTCATGTTAAGACTGAAAGACTGCAGCTCAGTCGGAAGAAGCCAATGACGGAGAGGGTATGACCAGCGGCCGGGGGGGAGGGATTGGGGGGGGGGCTCGTATACCCCTCCCCCGAAAGTTCGGCCAGCATTACCGAGAAGTTCGCTGAAGATAGTCTGTTAATGAGGGGAAAAGACACGGCAATTAGAGAAACAGCAGCGAAGGGGTCACTGGTGAGGGGTCAGAACGACAGAGACGGGGATTTAATGTGGCTCAACAAAGACCATCTCAACAGCAGGATTTAATGAGTGGAGACACTGGGGTGAAGCTATTGTGTGACATTAAAATTACTGAGGATTAGCCGTGCCTCGCGGGTAATGGCAAGAAATACCTACAGCGCCACATCTCAGCCTGTATTTTACATATAATACATGCGCATTAATGAAAACCGGTTTAGGAAAGTACACTTCTGTAGAACCCCCCCACAAGAGAAGGCCAACAAACAGAGGAAGGACAAAATACAAAATACCAACTTCAAAGCAAGTAAGTCACAATAACAAATCCATCTACAAAGATGAGTCACATTAGAATTTTAAACCTAATATGACTCATCTTTGTAGATGGATTTGTAATTGGCAACGTTTCAGCTGCAAAAGAGGTCGAACAGCACTTTGATATGTGTGCTTTCAAAGCAATAAGAGGCAGCTATTAGAGGCCGAAGGGGCAACAGAGGCCTGGCATGCAGGTGTTTGGGCAACTAAAGACTGCAAAGTTAATGTCTGAAGGGGAACACCCTCAAAAAGCATGACAGCATGAGACAAACATGGACAAACTCTCATTAAAGAGCAACAGTCATCCCAAGTCAAAGATCTTCAAAAGAGTTATACAGACACAGCATGGCCATTTGTAAACAGCACAAAAGTGGCCCAAAATTACTATCAGTATCTCAGTGACACAATCTCATGAGAAACTGCATGTTTTGAGCTTCACAACACTGGCATTTCTCTCAGTGAACCTAAAACCCCAAGTAATACGAAAAAAAGCAACATGATATAAAGAGGCATCGTTCACCCATATCCCATCCAAAGGAGAAATGTATGTTTGGAAAACGCCAAAGGATGCCTTCCACTTGCCACATCCGTTGGTGTAGTCATCTTGTGGGATTCATTAAGTCCAGTGATTACTTTCCATGATTGTATATCAGCCCAGGAATATGAGGCCATTTCACAGGACCAGGTGCACCTTGTGCTACGAACAACTGCTCCCTTATGCCGTTCCAATCTTACACGATGATAATGACATGGGCACCAGTCAAATGCCGTCTATCACCTGACCAGGCACCACACAGCATCACAAATAAACCTTTATTCCCAGTGTAAAGCGTACACCACCTCCACCTCTCATCACTGAAGGACCAAGGAGAACAACCTCAAGAAGAAGAATCCAATATTCTTCTACACAACATTCAAAATAACTTAAGGTCTTCTGAAGGCAAATGATGTCCCACTCGATCCTTACTAGAACCGGAACATTCACGTTATGCACTTATTTAAACACTGTTAGATTGTACGGCTGGTGACAGTGAGCAGGTTTAAATCCCTGACAACTGGATAACGTAAAATATCCAAAAACACATTCATTAAAAACCAATTAGCAGAAACGTCTTGTTAAGTTTTTGCTGCAAGACTTTTCGGCTGGGGGAAAAAAACGCATGTTGGATAAAACTTCCCCAGAGTGATAAAAACCAACCGCGGAACGTCGAGGACCCCGATGCGTGAGAATCAATAAAGAAAACGAAAAGAAACTCACACTCATCCATACAATCAACAGTTTACGGGAAAGTAACATTTCGGGAAAAATACAATGCGTAAGTTGTGTATAATGCAACATCATACATAGAAACTCCCTGAATTCGACTATTGTTCCGTTAAAAACGTTAATTTTCTAGAAATTCACATTACTGAAAGGCGCAGGAAAGCAGGGAAATCCTCAAAAGCAGCACCGTCCGAAAAACTGGAAATCAAACATATCGAAACATGTCGAGCTGCAAATTCCCCGAAGCACAGCCACCATCTGGCATGCATGGAGAGCAAACGCTTCCCAGGAGAAGTTACACGTACTTAATACTTAGTTACACACAAAGTTAAATCCTACCTTTCACTTGGCTCTCGTATTCCGCGATGATCTCTTTATCCTTCTTGAATCTCGTCGGGGTGGACATGATGAGTCCCTCCGTCAGCTTTTCTAACTTTGCTCGCCGAGTTGCCTGCAGAGATGTCCAGGTCCGGTTACCTACAGATCCGGCAGAAAGTGCTCACACATCGGGGGAGGGGAGATGGTGCGGAAAAAACACCGGATTGATATGCGATTATATACCGTACTGCAGATGCCACGTTTAACGCCGAGGCGTTTTCGCCGGTCGTAGGTGTGCTTCAAGTTTTTTTTTTTTTTATTTAATTTTAAAAAAATTGTTTAAAATTTCCCTTCACAGAACACCGAGGAAATCTGGAGATCCCATTGTTCCAGCAGAAGGACGAACAGCCCATATATGAATGGGATCAAACCCCGGCAGTGGCTCCGGGGGACAGACGAGTAGGAGCGGGAGCGACCCCACGCATCACCGGGAAAGTGAAACCAGCAGACCGGCCCTTAGCTGCATGCAAGCCCGTCCGGATAAAATACACAGAAATGCTCGGTGAGGAAAGGCGGTTGTCTAAGGCGAAGGGAAGGAAGAACCGCGCAGCACGAAAAAGCGCCCCTGAACACCTCGCCTGCCCCCCAACACTAACTGTGTCCCCTCGGCCCCAATCCACCACCAGATCGGATCGGACCCAGGCCGGGCGTGGAAGAGAGAGAGTGTTGGGAGTAACGGGGTGGGATTGCCGGGGCGCACGGAGAGAAAATGTGGACGCTAGCCGACAGCGCCCCCCGGCGGATGATGCGTGCAGGGGGTCGGTGCCCAGGGACTGCCGTGGCTCAGATGCCCGTCCTCTTACAGAGGTCCATATAAATACACCGGGGAGCTGCCATTGTTTTTTTTCCCAGCTTCAACGCCTGGTGTAAATGCAAAAATCTTGATTCCGGCACAGATAAGAGAAGAGTTTTTCCTTAATTTTAAAACAGACTACGATGCAAAACAGTGAACTGAATTAGAAACAGAGCATCGGGGAAACTTTCCGGGGGGAGCGATTTTGCCGTCGCTGTAGTACTAGTTGATCGTAGATGGCAACTTCGTCGTTATATACGTGTTTACTGCGTGTAAGGACGCAGCTCGCTCCGTCTTTACACTGAGCAGATTACACTCATGGTGGTTTTTCGGTAGTCAGGTTATAGCTTACAACATCCCCAAGGGTTAACAAACAGTGCTCTGGGTACACCAGTACGAGCCTCGCGTGAACGCTGTTACTCAGATTTCCCACTTAGTGCGACGTATGACAATCTGATGTATCTAGTTCGCCATCTGGCGGCAAAAAATGCCTTTACATGACATTTAAAATGACAAATCCTTTATTTGCCAATTGGACAAGCTGGGGCGGTTTGCAGCTGAGCGTGAGGCTGCCGGGATGAGGATCCAAGTCTGAGGCCGTGGTTCTCGACAGGAAAAGGGTGGATTGTCCTTTCCTGGTGGGGGATGAGTTGCTGCCCCAAGCGGAGGAGTTTAAGTACCTCGGGGTTTTGTTCATAACTGATGGAAGAATGGAGTGGGAGATGGACGGATCGGTGCAGCGTTGGCAGTATTCTGGACGCTGTACCATTCTGTCATGGCGAAGAGGGAGCTGAGCTGGAAGGTGAAGCTTTCTGCGTTCCTACCCTCATCTATGGTCATGAGCTCTGGGTAGTGACCAAAAGAATGAGATCACAGATACAAGCGGCCGAAATGAGCTTCCTTTGCAGGGTGTCTGGGCTCAGCCTTAGAGAGGGTGAGGAGCTCAGACATTCAGGAGAGGCTCAAAGTAGAGCCACTGCTCCTCCACATCGAAAGGAGCCAGCTGAGGTGGTTTGGGCATCTATCTAGGACGCCTCCCTGGGGAGGTGTTTCTGGCCCCGGGGCAGACCCAGGATAGGCTGGAGATTATATCTGTCAGCTGGCCTGGGAACGCCTTGGTTTTCCCCCAGAGGAGCTGGAGGAGGTGGCTGGTGAGAGGGAGGTCTGGGCATCCCTGCTTAGACTGCTGAGGTTTGAACGAAACACCCTTCCAACCATGGACACAGAGGCTGAGCCCTCTGAGCCGCTCACCACCGGCTGCTCATTCATAAAGGTTTACAAAATTAACAACTGTAAATGACAGGTAACTGTAAAATCTACCGTGTCCCACAAAATACCGTTAACAAACCAATAAACAATTAAACTGGACATTGCAATAATCTGAAATATCGGTGGCCAGTGAGGAAGCCCACAATCGGATGTCCACGCACTCAATGGCCATCGTCTTTGCCCCCTGCATCCTGTGCAGTCCTGACACCGTGAATGGCCTTGAAATCATGAATGACATGAGCAAGGCCACCAAGTGAGTACCTCGCCTGTCCTTCTGGCACAGACCACCACGGCTTCCGGGCTTGTCCCTCCGAAAGGCTGTAGGCTGCGTCGGTCCCCCGCCAAGTGAGTGCCTTTCCATCTTCACCATCTACGCAGGTGTTTGGAGCTCATCCTAAATGAGCAGATGAGGTGCTATGAGGAGCTGAAGGAGCCAGAGCGGCTTGAGTGTCCTGAACCTCTGGGCCATGAAGCAGCTAATGCTGAAAAGGCAAGACACTGTAAGTCCCAGAGCCTGAGGTCGCGGCTAAAATATGGCTTTTTTTGTCCTTCATGTTCTGACCCCTGTGAGATGTGTGACTGAGGAATGCTCATGTGTTCTGAAGTACAGCTGAAGCCGACAGCAGATCAGGCGGCTGCCTCCTATGATAGCGACTCCATCAATGCAGACACAGAGCATGAGAATGAGATGGACCATCATCCGCTTCATCTGTGTCCTAGTAGCAACCTGAGAACCCCACGGACCAGAACCAGCCCCCCACCCAGTGTGTGTGTGTGTGTGTGTGTGTGTGTGTGTCTATATATTCCCAAAAACTATATATGTGCATTATGTTTTCAATATATATATTTATTCAATAAATGTACAATATGTTGCAGAATACAAAAGGAATTGCTGGTTTTCATATATGGAATATGAATTTATGCCATTTTATATTTAATGACACTTCATAATAAACAGATGTATATGTGATAAAATCTGGTAAATATTGTATATTCACACACTCACTTTTGCATATAGATGTGTCGGTGTGTGTATATATGATTTCTGTGTTATGCATATATTTACATTTATATGGTTACATGTATACAGTTAAATGGAATATATTACCATATTACCACTATATATTACCACAGACTAATGGGTAATCAATCAAGAAAATTCTTTATTTCTGTTTTGAAACATACAAAATTATTTCCCATATATGTGTAATGGTTATAAAATAGTTTTTGAAACTTATTCCTTATTTGGCCTTTAGCCTTCAATCTTCAAACATGAGCTAGAGATCCAGCACAAGAGACTAAACAAAGGAACAGTCTGTTAGCCTATTTAACGGTCCATCTTGATTCTTCACTTATCAAATTAAGGTGCGGAACATGTAAAGAAGAAAAGAGACAAAGCACAGCCTGTTATGCTGTTTAACTCGCTTAGATTTGTCGATGTTCCGTCTTTTCCTGACCGACCTGCCTCAGCTCACGAGTTCTTGTGTTGATTGTTTTTGTTGTGTCTGATATCTTGGCCCAGGATGGTGGTGTAAAATAGCATCTGTGGAACAGAAAAATAGCATAAGTAGCCATTCACAAAAGACAGCAGGAAATATAACAATATCCATAATATCTACATTAAATCATGAGCGAGCAGACATGCTGTGACTAAAGTTTATAAACAAAATTCGGTAACGCTTTATAATAATGTTCAGCTATAACACATATATAAGCCTGTAGTTAAATGTTAACTAAGCATTTACAAAACCTCGACATTTACAAGCCTGTAGTTAATAATGAACAAATCATTTACAAATTCTTAATGAGACATTAAGCATGTAGTTAAAGGCTAACTAAGCATTTGCAAAACCTTAAACATTTATAAACGATTAAAAGGAGAAATTATCATAAACAAATAATTAACAAGCCTGTAGTAAAATTACTAAGCCTGTAGTTAATAATGAACAAATCATTTACAAATTCTCAAGACATGTACAAGCGATAAGCATGTAGTTAAGACTTAACTAATTACAATCATTTTTTGTACTTTTGATACATACACAGGAATTATTGTGAGCACTTCTGTATAAAAATATTACATAAATATTACACTGAATCTCGTACCTTTACACAGTTTACAGCCTAAAACTGTAACACTTATGTCTCACTGCTGCAGCTGTACTGCTCGTATGCATAATAAACCATGAGTAAATCACCTGGTCACATAGCTAATGAAACACTAGCATTAGCGTTATTTAGCTTTTTGACTGGTTTATCAGCAGAAAAATACCATGACATTATGAAGGCATGTATGATGTAATAGGTGACAGCTTTAAGTAAAGTGTTACAATGATTTATGTTCATTTCCCCTTTTAATCGTTCATAAATGTTTTGTAAATAATTAGGTAACCCTTGTTCATCTTATAACTACATACTCCTAAATGTTGTATTGAGGCGTTGTAAATTATTAGATAATATTTAACTAAAGGCTTGTATATGCGGTATATATGAACATTATTATAAAGTGTTACCCAAAAAATTGTGAACAAAATTTAACTTTGGCTCACTGACGTGTTACAAAGTCTAATTGCAGGCGAAATGAAGGATCTGCGGAAGCGTTCTGAGATTAAGCATTAAAATAAATTAATTTCCACCTAACGTTCGAAATTCAAATTCCGTTGCAGATGTATTATACAGTATGTATTATGAACAGGGTCGGGGGGTGGTCTGGGAGGACATGCTGGTACTACTCTGCTTCCACCCCAGAAATACTCCCTTTCTCACCGTGCCATATAAACAATCCCCGCCACCTAGCGGCAAAAGAAGGTGGCATTTCAGTTCACTTACTTTAATTGTCGTTGTAAAATGACCTTATTAATAATTATCTACAACCTTAATAGCATCTTGAGCATCCGAACCTCTTAAAATAGCTCTTGTGGTTAATGTAGTCTTTTATGTTGCATTTTGTCTTTTGAATGCATAGTCCACTAGTTTCTCGCTGTATACGCTATATATATATATTGCATACTTCTGCTCTAATGCTACTTATGCTTGTTACTGGACATTCATTGAAATTTCTGCCTAGCTGTAATGTTTGTAATGTACGATTTGTCTCACTTGTACCTCGCTTTGGACAAACGTCTGCTAAATATATGGAATGTACCACGTGCTACACAAGAGCCTATTTTTTCAGCAAATCACAGCACCTACTAACTACAGCCACTAGGGGGCAAACGAGGACGTCATTGCTCCTTAGCGTCTCCACCGTGCAGGAACAAACCGAAACTGCGGAGAAATGAATCGCACCTGGAACCACCGATCTCGATGTGGTAGCAAGACTAAAACATTTCTGAACCGTTCGTTAACATTACAGACAATGGGGCGAATGGTACCGGTTCCAATTACGCTAACACATTTTGAACTGTTTTTAAAAAAATATTATTTCTTTGTTTTTTTTTTGTTTTTTAAAATTATAATTCCATCCACTTGCCCTTCAGCAGAGTTTGGGACAGGAGAGGGCGCTTAAGTCGCGCCGGGTGTCCGGTTCTCCTTCACTCCCACAGCCATGGCAACTGTGGCAGATAAGCGGCAAAATTAAAACAGCATCACTTGCTCGTTATCGATTATTAATCAGTTTCAATCGGTGCTTTTATCTAGAACAATCTGCAGTTTTCTACTCGTTACTGTATGGGATTTACAGGAGTCACCCAGTTAAATCACCTAACATAATGGTTAAACAGCAGAACTTCCAAAGAGACAAGAACAGACAACGGTCTTTAAGTACTGCCCTAATTAGTTACTAATTATAGCTACTCATTTATTAATAAAAATTAAGCCCATACTAGCTGTGTTTGACCAGGTCAGTGCTCCCCCAGTATAATAATGAAAGTAATTTACATACATTATATTTCTATGCAATTCCTCTAGAGCATATGCAGACAGTTTTGGCTATTTCAGAGTGCATTAATTTAAACACTCCTCATTAGCTACCAGACAGCAAGTTCCTAAAAGTATTTGTAATACACAGACTGTTGCTTAAGAACTTACACAGTTACAGAGGCCAGCTGTCTCCCACATGATTTTTTTCTTACTGCTCTCCGACGTGTCATTTATTTTCTTCTATTGAGACTGTCTGAACATCTGTGGGGAGTCCAGGGACCACCAGACCTCCTCCTGGTCCCTACTCCCACATCCTGCTCAGGCATAAAACTGGAACAGGAACAGGAAGATGAGCGAAAGTACTGGGAATTCAAGTCTGATCACCGGGGATTTTTGTATCACTGATGAATTTCCCATAATTCTTGGCTACATCCTTAACTAAAGAACCCTACTTGTGAGCCCTTTAAAGATTCAGGAAAGTAACATATGTAACTGGCCTGAAACAGACAATTGCCAGCTGGCTTTACGTGTCTTGTGGCTTTAAGGTGGCACCTCACCATGTAATTACATCTCACTCTGTCCTAATCTCCACTACAAGGCGCCTGTCCCATGACGCAATGTACTTATGATGAAACTCTTCATTCATATTCTGTTACATGTCTCTTGTACAGTTAATTAACTAAGGCTCACTATGTACACTGTAGCCTCTAAGACAGGGGTGCCCAACTCCAGTCCTGGGGGGCCGGAGCCCTGTGTAGCTTAGTTCTTTCCCTGTTCCACCATG